GAGTTTAAAAATGTGTAAACAATCATCTACTTAAGATATTAGTCTTAGGAAAACTAAAATTAAATTTGTTTCTTTGTGTTACAGCTAGAAGAATTGAATTCTTCCATGTATCCTTTGCCTAATATAAAACAGCAAAAAGTTTACAAATTATAATTTCTGGTGAATAGTCCCAATTAAGTGAACAAAGATATATTATTTACTGGAGGCATTTCTCTAACTCCTTTGGTTTCCAAATGGAATTTTTAGTTGTTTTGTATGCTGAAATTTTGTTTCTGGTTTGTTCTTCTTTGCTTTATTGTTTTTGGACTTTAAAAAAACTTAAATTTTTTTAAACAAGAGAATTAAGGTTTAGGCTAGTTGCCATATAAATTATTTTGAATCTTAGTTTCTTAAGCCAAATGGCAGTTGGATATGTAGACACAATACACTATATTTTATCTCATGACATAGTTAAGATGCATTAAAAACTGTACTACAGGATTAGCTTAAATGAAATCACCAAAAGCTCATGTGAAATATTCAGGTTTTGACCTTTTGATTTAGAGCAGTTATTTCAGAAACTATTCAAAATATATTTTTGAACATAATGATAGACATAATGTGAGATATGTAAGAACAATAAGAAATGAGCCTGCCTATAAAATAGTTTGAGAGGTAATTTGATTTAAACAAAACAATGAGATACTAGAAAGGATACAGGTTGTAGAATCAAGAGATTAGATTTTTGAAATTTGGTTTCACATTTTGATAATGTAACCTTGGGCAAACTGTTCTAACATCCCAGAGTATCTTAATATGCAGTAATTGCTACAATAAAACGTACATATGAAAATTTTCAAATTGTAGGATATATACACACATTTATTGTTATTGCTATAACATATACTGTAATTGAATTGTAAAGTAATAACAGTGAAGAAATAGGTTATATGCAAATCTAGTAATAGACGTTAATAGTTAATCTTTAATGAATACTTAGTATTTGCTAAGTCTTTTATGAATAGGTTTATATGCATTGTCTCATTTGGTCCTACTCTTGGAAGTAGGGGGTGTTACACTCCCCGTTTTACAGATGAAGAAAATAAAGTTTTGAGAAGCCATAGAAACTGAGGGGAGACAATGATAGATATTATTGCCAAGAGAGACTTAAACATGGGTAAGATAGGAATTAATTAGGGGACTTAGGAGTAGTTCCTGGTTCTTTTTAT